GACCCTCCTCCCTCTCATGCTCTCTGTCTCTCATTCTCTCTCTCAAATAAATAAATAAAAAAAAATCTTTAAAAAAAAAAAAAATTTTACAAATACTGGGGCACCTGGGTGGCTCAGTCGGTTAAGCGTCTGCCTTCGGCTCAGGTCATGATCCCAGGGGTCCTGGGATTGAGCCCCATGTCGGGCTCCTTGCTCAGCGGGAAGCCTGCTTCTCCTTCTCCCTCCGCCTCTGCCCCCTACTTGTGCTCACTCTCTCTCAAATAAATAAATAAAATCTTAAAAAAAAAATTACAAATACTTTAAAAATACAAAGAGAGAAAACTATGAACCTAACAGATAAGGACATGTAATGAGCTCAAACCCTACCCGCTCAGTAACAGAACGGTTTCCACTTAAGTCAACATTCACTTAACTGTCTCTGGAACTGGCTGTGAAGGTACCACAGGACCATTTCACATGCACTTTGTACACAGAGTGGCAAAGTAGCTGAGGTCTTGTGCAAAAAATCACACCACAGGCAGCTATTGTTAATAGTATATAAAGACTCAGAATTTCATCTTTAACACTGCACAAGCCATGTTCTCGGTGCCACAAAAGGCTTTTGCAGCTAGGGAGTTCGACACACAAGAAGGCAGCATGGTAAGGAGCCCCTCATCACCGACGGGGACCACTGACAACTTGTATGTCCCTCCCGCTCTCAGATGCAAAGCATCAACAAGCTGCCTTGTTTTAAAAAAAAGGCACGTCTGAGGGTCGGGGGGCTCTTCACAGGAGCTTCTAAAACAAGAATGTGGGCGTCGCACCTATGACCCAAACTATAGTTAGGATGAAGGTCTCTGATGATATATGAATAAGCAAGAGGATTTAAGAAACAGACGTATTCCACCCAGTGTTCCTGGCAGCCACAGAAATCTCTAACAAGACCTAAGAAATGAGGGGGAAATGAGTACAGAAGCAACACCAGGAGAACTGGCTGAGGGTCGGGTACTTCTCAAGTGGGCAATTCTGACCTTTGTGCCCAGAGCCACGTATTGTCTCGTACGCCAGAAACCTCCACTGGGTGCAACAGTCTGACCTTCGGGGGAAGTCCTTAGCCTAGACGGGCACTGAGTGCCAATGACAGCAAAGGGCAGACTCACTGTGGGTGCGTCTTGTAAAGAGACCCGTCGACACCAACCGTGGTCCGCAGCCTGGGTGTGCCCTTGTTATCTCGAAGGCGGTTCAAGATGGCGCCCAGCGTTGCAGCCACCAGGTTGGCAGAGCGAAATGAGACAATGGTACACACGTGCTGGACTGAAATACAGTCGTCATCGGATGGCTCCACTCCCAGGCGGGTCAGGATTTCTTTGGCATTGTGGAGGCCTTCCTTATTCCTGTGAGGTTAGAGGCCAGCAACTGTGAGTTAAGGACCACACTGGGCGGTGCAAAGCACTGAGGGTCCAGAGTCCACACCCATTCACCACGGGTGAATGACAGGGGATGAGGACAGTCAAGTGCCTGAGAAGAACACACGAAGGAGTCTCCTCCGTAAGAAATACCAGGTAATAAGAGAAAAAACTGTACCGGGCTGGGTTATGACACGCCAGGGACATGGAGAGAAGGGAGGTGAGACGTCGCTGCCTCCGCCCCAGAGCTTCGTGCTCCGGAGACGCAGACAAATCTCCTGCTCTTGAGGTCTGTGAGCATGCCTGGGATGCTTACACACCTTTCCTTGAGGTTTTCCAGGAAAATTTCAATTTTCTGCATACCTGTTTTGTGTATCTTTTGTTACATTCATCCCGAAGTACTTCAGGATTTTGTTACTATTACAGATGGTACAGTGTAGATGGCATGTATTCATATATATATATATATATTCCTTTTTTTTCACCTTCATGTACCATAGTAACATAAGATGTTAACTAACAATGGGGAAAATGGAGTCAGCGATACACAGGGAACACTCTGTACCATCTTTGCAATTTTTCTGTAAGTCTAAAAATATTCTAAAATAAAAGGCTTATTTAAAAGCATACATATTTTAATTATTGCCAATATACAGAAATACAGTTGACTTTTGTATCTTATCTCCAGGCAACTCCCTAACCTCTCGTTATTCTATTCACTTCTCTAGATATTTCTGGTGTCTCACACCGACAATTAACATCTGCAAATAATGATAATTTTACTTCCTCTTTTTTTTTTCTGCTGATTTTAAAGAGAACACTTTGAACGTCTGCCTTGGTAGGATGCTCAGGTTTCGCTGAGACAGCCCTTAAGACAATATATATGTTTTCTTGAGCTAGTTCAAGTGGGCTTTTGCTTCTTGGTAACCAAAGAGCCAACCAGAAGAGGCCAACCTTCTGCTTCTTGGTAACCAGAAGAGGCCAAAAGGAAGGTAGGCATTTCTTGACTCTGTGAATGACTGTGAAGACATGTCAGGAGGCTCTTGCCCCCTCTCTCCCCAGTAGCGAGCCGGGAGGCTTGAGAAAAGAGACGGCTGGAAACTGGGTATCATGGCGCCCTGCCGACAGTCGCTCTGCCCCAATAGCTCCTGAAGGACAGTGATCCGAGGGTAAATGCCCAGGGATGTGACAGAGGAGTGAGTCCACATAAACCCCTTCCAATTCCCACAGCCGCCTCCTCCACCTGCAGCCCGCTGACCTGCATCTGCTCCCAGGAGCCTAAGCTAGGAAGCCGCCGGCTCGTTGTGAGTCTCCAGCATACAGCAGGGCAGTGGGAACGACAGCTTCGGGCAGAGATGAAAGGACATCTCTAGCACCCAGCGAGCCCTATCTTTCGGCAAGTGGCCTCGCATGGCTGCATGTCTCCGAACCAGGAACAGAGCCTGGTGGCCCACGGAGGCCAGCCACAAGACGGGAGTCCTTCAGACTCGGAGGCGCCCAACCATGTCAAACTGCCCTGGGACCATGTTTACCCTCTTCCCTCTCAGGGTGCAGGCCCGCAAGTCACAGCTGAGCCAGAGAAGTCTGGGTTTTTCATGGTGAGGCCGGAAGGCAGCAGTCAGATGGCTGGCTGGACCGTCCTCCCCTGTCTATCTGCCCTGTCTCAGCTGTTAACCAACGTTTCTCAAACTTGTGCCAAGGAACACATCTGGCTGTTAACAGGTGAGAGAATGGGGGGCAGGCAGTGGGGAGGGCATTCCAGGCACCAAAGAAGTTTGGGAAACTGGAGCATCTGGGTGGCTCAGTCAGTTAAGCGTCCAACTCTTGATATCTGCTCAGGCCATGATGTCAGGGTCGTGGGACTGAGCCTCGAGTCAGGCTACACACTGGACATGGAGGCTGCTTGGCTGCTTGGGATTCTCTCCCTCATCCCCGCCACCCCCTGCTCACATACATGCTCTCGTTTGCGTGCTCTCTCTCTCTCTCTAGGGAAAAAAAAAAGGAGTTTGGGAAATTATAAGCTAACCAAAGTGAACTGGGTTTTCTTTAATATGGTAATGAATACTATAAATCTCTCAATGGAGAATAAATATGCAATATTTCCCAATCCTGTTAGCCACAGAACCCTTTCTTCAGGGAACACCCAATTATCATGAGGTCACCAGGGGTCCCTGGAACAGAGTCTGGAGAAGGTCCTCATATGTCCCAGGGGGCTTCCGAGCCCAGGCCCCAGGCTCAGTGAGCTCCTCGTTCACCGCTAGAATCATCGGCTCCCTGGACTCTAATCTCCCCTGTGTGCGTGGGCAGGCAGGGGTGGGGGGTGGAGTGAAGGAAAAGAGAAAGCCCCGAGGGACAGCACCTACTTCTCAATGGCTGACACATCGCTGGTCTTGAACTTCCCCCGGGTGAGCAGCTCCGGGGTGATCCGCCCTTCAAATAAGAGGCTCTCCTTGGCCATCTTGACCAGGATCAGTCGCACCAGCTCTCCCAAGTACATGCCACTGACCATCTTCTCAAACCTGTGGGAGAAAAGCGGGTGGCACTTGTCAGGTCCTTCCTACGTGCGTACCCCTGGGGCGGCTCATGAGGAGTAAGACAGACAGACAGGCAGAAGGGAGAAGAAGGCACCGCCTTGTCCTCCCAAGCTCATGGTCTCACCGGCAGGCAAAACCACACACACCTGTGCCACTAAATGATGAGGAGACAGCAATGGGGGAGAGGGCGTCTCCTCCAGACCCCACACCCATCGCCGGGTGGGCAAAGGAGGTAAGCACCTTGGGCACAGGGGCAGGCAGGGAAGGCTGCCTGGAGGTGAGACTGGGGATGACGAGGAGGCCCCCAGACAGAAATGCAGAATATGATCATTTCTTACAAGACACTACACTATGCTTTTTT